TTTCAGGGCTAGCACTGCTCTATCGGAAAGTGACAAAAAAACTACAAAATTCCAGGCCAGTAGAGGTCGGGTCCGAGTACCTTTGCAATGGCTCGCAAAAACAACGATTCTGAAAAGACCCACCAATATTCCTTCAAAACTTAACGATTTTGTAAACGTCAAATGTTTTCAGGGCTAGCACTGCTCTATTGGAAAGTGACAAAAAAATACAAAATTCCAGGCCAGTCTCAGAGGTCGGGTCCGAGTATACCTTTGCAATGGCTCGCAAAAAACAACGATTCTGAAAATATACCCACCGATATTCCTTCAAAACTTAACGATTCCGTAGACGTCAAATGTTTTCAGGGCTAGCACTGCTCTATCGGAAAGTGACAAAAAAACTACAAAATTCCAGGCCAGTAGAGGTCGGGTCCGAGTACCTTTGCAATGGCTCGCAAAAACAACGATTCTGAAAAGACCCACCAATATTCCTTCAAAACTTAACGATTTTGTAAACGTCAAATGTTTTCAGGGCTAGCACTGCTCTATTGGAAAGTGACAAAAAAATACAAAATTCCAGGCCAGTCTCAGAGGTCGGGTCCGAGTACCTTTGCAATGGCTTGCAAAAACAACGATTCTGAAAATATACCCACCAATATTCCTTCAAAACTTAACGATTGTGTAAACGTCAAATGTTTTCAGGGCTAGCACTGCTCCATTGGAAAGTGACAAAAAAATACAAAATTTCAGGCCAGTCCCGGAGGTGGGGTCCGAGTACCTTTGCAATGGCTCGCAAAAACAACGATTCTGAAAATATACCCACCAATATTCCTTCAAAACTTAACGATTCCGTAAACTTCAAATGTTTTCAGGGCTAGCACTGCTCTATTGGAAAGTGACAAAAAAAATACAAAATTCCAGGCCAGTCTCAGAGGTCGGGTCCGAGTACCTTTGCAATGGCTCGCAAAAACATCGATTCTGAAAAGATACCCACCAATATTCCTTCAAAACTTAACGATTTTGTAAACGTCAAATGTTTTCAGGGCTAGCACTGCTCTATTGGAAAGTGACAAAAAAAATACAAAATTCCAGGCCAGTCTCAGAGGTCGGGTCCGAGTACCTTTGCAATGGCTCGCAAAAACAACGATTCTGAAAATATACAAATATACCCACCAATATTCCTTCAAAACTTAACGATTTTGTAAACGTCAAATGTTTTCAGGGCTAGCACTGCTCTATCGGAAAGTGACAAAAAAACTACAAAATTCCAGGCCAGTAGAGGTCGGGTCCGAGTACCTTTGCAATGGCTCGCAAAAACAACGATTCTGAAAAGACCCACCAATATTCCTTCAAAACTTAACGATTTTGTAAACGTCAAATGTTTTCAGGGCTAGCACTGCTCTATTGGAAAGTGACAAAAAAATACAAAATTCCAGGCCAGTCTCAGAGGTCGGGTCCGAGTATACCTTTGCAATGGCTCGCAAAAAACAACGATTCTGAAAATATACCCACCGATATTCCTTCAAAACTTAACGATTCCGTAGACGTCAAATGTTTTCAGGGCTAGCACTGCTCTATCGGAAAGTGACAAAAAAACTACAAAATTCCAGGCCAGTAGAGGTCGGGTCCGAGTACCTTTGCAATGGCTCGCAAAAACAACGATTCTGAAAAGACCCACCAATATTCCTTCAAAACTTAACGATTTTGTAAACGTCAAATGTTTTCAGGGCTAGCACTGCTCTATTGGAAAGTGACAAAAAAATACAAAATTCCAGGCCAGTCTCAGAGGTCGGGTCCGAGTACCTTTGCAATGGCTTGCAAAAACAACGATTCTGAAAATATACCCACCAATATTCCTTCAAAACTTAACGATTGTGTAAACGTCAAATGTTTTCAGGGCTAGCACTGCTCCATTGGAAAGTGACAAAAAAATACAAAATTTCAGGCCAGTCCCGGAGGTGGGGTCCGAGTACCTTTGCAATGGCTCGCAAAAACAACGATTCTGAAAATATACCCACCAATATTCCTTCAAAACTTAACGATTCCGTAAACTTCAAATGTTTTCAGGGCTAGCACTGCTCTATTGGAAAGTGACAAAAAAAATACAAAATTCCAGGCCAGTCTCAGAGGTCGGGTCCGAGTACCTTTGCAATGGCTCGCAAAAACATCGATTCTGAAAAGATACCCACCAATATTCCTTCAAAACTTAACGATTTTGTAAACGTCAAATGTTTTCAGGGCTAGCACTGCTCTATTGGAAAGTGACAAAAAAAATACAAAATTCCAGGCCAGTCTCAGAGGTCGGGTCCGAGTACCTTTGCAATGGCTCGCAAAAACAACGATTCTGAAAATATACAAATATACCCACCAATATTCCTTCAAAACTTAACGATTTTGTAAACGTCAAATGTTTTCAGGGCTAGCACTGCTCTATTGGAAAGTGACAAAAAAATACAAAATTCCAGGCCAGTCTCAGAGGTCGGGTCCGAGTACCTTTGCAATGGCTTGCAAAAACAACGATTTTGAAAATATACCCTCCAATATTCCTTCAAAACTTAACGATTGTGTAAACGTCAAATGTTTTCAGGGCTAGCACTGCTCCATTGGAAAGTGACAAAAAAATACAAAATTTCAGGCCAGTCCCGGAGGTGGGGTCCGAGTACCTTTGCAATGGCTCGCAAAAACAACGATTCTGAAAATATACCCACCAATATTCCTTCAAAACTTAACGATTCCGTAAACTTCAAATGTTTTCAGGGCTAGCACTGCTCTATTGGAAAGTGACAAAAAAAAATACAAAATTCCAGGCCAGTCTCAGAGGTCGGGTCCGAGTACCTTTGCAATGGCTCGCAAAAACATCGATTCTGAAAAGATACCCACCAATATTCCTTCAAAACTTAACGATTTTGTAAACGTCAAATGTTTTCAGGGCTAGCACTGCTCTATTGGAAACTGACAAAAAAACTACAAAATTCCAGGCCAGTAGAGGTCGGGTCCGAGTACCTTTGCAATGGCTCGCAAAAACAACGATTCTGAAAATATACCCACCAATAATCCTTCAAAACTTAACGATTTTGTAAACGTCAAATGTTTTCAGGGCTCACTGCTCTATTGGAAAGTGACAAAAAAATACAAAATTCCAGGCCAGTAGAGGTCGGGTCCGAGTACCTTTGCAATGGCTCGCAAAAACAACGATTCTGAAAATATACCCACCAATATTCCTTCAAAACTTAACGATTTTGTAAACGTCAAATGTTTTCAGGGCTCACTGCTCTATTGGAAAGTGACAAAAAAATACAAAATTCCAGGCCAGTCCCGGAGGTGGGGTCCGAGTACCTTTGCAATGGCTCGCAAAAACAACGATTCTGAAAATATACCCACCAATATTCCTTCAAAACTTAACGATTTTGTAAACGTCAAATGTTTTCAGGGCTAGCACTGCTCTATTGGAAAGTGACAAAAAAATACAAAATTCCAGGCCAGTCTCAGAGGTCGGGTCCGAGTACCTTTGCAATGGCTCGCAAAAACAACGATTCTGAAAATATACAAATATACCCACCAATATTCCTTCAAAACTTAACGATTTTGTAAACGTCAAATGTTTTCAGGGCTAGCACTGCTCTATTGGAAAGTGACAAAAAAATACAAAATTCCAGGCCAGTCTCAGAGGTCGGGTCCGAGTATACCTTTGCAATGGCTCGCAAAAAACAACGATTCTGAAAATATACCCACCGATATTCCTTCAAAACTTAACGATTCCGTAGACGTCAAATGTTTTCAGGGCTAGCACTGCTCTATCGGAAAGTGACAAAAAAACTACAAAATTCCAGGCCAGTAGAGGTCGGGTCCGAGTACCTTTGCAATGGCTCGCAAAAACAACGATTCTGAAAAGACCCACCAATATTCCTTCAAAACTTAACGATTTTGTAAACGTCAAATGTTTTCAGGGCTAGCACTGCTCTATTGGAAAGTGACAAAAAAATACAAAATTCCAGGCCAGTCTCAGAGGTCGGGTCCGAGTACCTTTGCAATGGCTTGCAAAAACAACGATTCTGAAAATATACCCACCAATATTCCTTCAAAACTTAACGATTGTGTAAACGTCAAATGTTTTCAGGGCTAGCACTGCTCCATTGGAAAGTGACAAAAAAATACAAAATTTCAGCCCAGTCCCGGAGGTGGGGTCCGAGTACCTTTGCAATGGCTCGCAAAAACAACGATTCTGAAAATATACCCACCAATATTCCTTCAAAACTTAACGATTCCGTAAACTTCAAATGTTTTCAGGGCTAGCACTGCTCTATTGGAAAGTGACAAAAAAAATACAAAATTCCAGGCCAGTCTCAGAGGTCGGGTCCGAGTACCTTTGCAATGGCTCGCAAAAACATCGATTCTGAAAAGATACCCACCAATATTCCTTCAAAACTTAACGATTTTGTAAACGTCAAATGTTTTCAGGGCTAGCACTGCTCTATTGGAAAGTGACAAAAAAATACAAAATTCCAGGCCAGTCTCAGAGGTCGGGTCCGAGTACCTTTGCAATGGCTCGCAAAAACAACGATTCTGAAAATATACAAATATACCCACCAATATTCCTTCAGTCAGCGTTGCGCCCGGAAGCGTGGAATATAGATACACTTTGCGATTAGATAGTTTATTAGGCGCTGGCAGGTTACATGGTTTATTGCACCGATATCAGCATATGAGATACGACAGTAAGGCAGGTTGATACGGAAGTAGGTATGACGAGGGGAAGCGACGACCGGTAGGATCATGGAGTTGAAGGAGGCCGATGGAGCAGGTGGCGTTGCCCGACCATCTCGGGCAGCTGCGCGAGTCCTCTCTCGAAGTCTGAGGCTTCCTTCAGTCACGCCCTGTAATGGATGAGTCAGCAAGAGTCAAATTCAAGCACTCACTCTCTCAGTCTTTCTTACAAAACTCTCACTCTCTTACACCTCCCTTCATTATTTTAAGTCCGTCCCGGACTTATTACAAAACATCGAAAGAGAACAAAAGAAAGGTTAAAAGGCACTGGAAAAGTTGGAAAACTCACTAGGCACTTTGTGATTATGGAAATATTCATCAATGCGATTATGATCGACCACGGCATTCAAAGACCTTGACCATGACAACACTCGGCTCCAAAACGGTATGCGCGAGAGGGCCTCGGCGTGGCCGAAGACAAACTGGCCTTGCCTACATCTGGTGAGGGCCACATTCATTCTGCGATAGTCATCCAAGAATTCTGCTGTGCCAAGTTCTGCATCCGTTCGAGTCGTAAGGATGATGACGACTTCTTTCTCTCTCCCCTGTACCGAATCTACCGTTGCTAGTTCGACTCCAAGACGTTGGGCTTGCTCTTGCATGCGATTGAACTGCGCCCGGTAGAAAGTGATTATGGCTATGTCATCCTTAGATATCCCGTTTTCCAAAAGCAAGTGAACCAAGTGCCAACACGCCTCGGCTTCCGCCGTGTTAAAGTGCGATTTGCTCGTCGAGCGAGTAGAATCAGCCGGAACATTGATAAACATATATGGGACGCCTGGTGATGGAAACTTCATTGCCGTGAGAAGCATTTGGCGCTCTTCTGCCCGCACTCCTGATACCAGGGCGCCAGAGTATGCGACGCGGTTAGGGAGTTCGAGTAGACTCGGATGACCTCTAAACGTTGTGCGCAGAGGGGCGATCGGGACTGCGCGCGCCTTCATCAGTATCTCCATTACACTCCGCGCCCCGAAGATCGCCATGTTCGAAGACCTCGGGCATCTAACATGCGGTTGGAGTTGGTGCGCGTCTCCGATGTAGACGTGGCGCACCGTCGGTAGACGCATGGCCAGCGTGACGACTACTGGTTCGGGAATTTGGGACGCCTCGTCGCCAATCAAGACAGAAAACCTGGACATGTGCTTCCGAAATATTCCCTTCGGCCCTATGATGTTAATTAGCGATGACGTGGTCGCGAATATCACTGCCGGTGCATGAAGTCGAAACATCAAATCGACCATTTTTTGGAGATTGCGTGAAACATACTTGTCCGAGATGTAGCATTCTTCGCTCTGCTCCTCCGACATCTGAAGCGCGCGCTCTGGATCCCTCAAGGCCTGTTCCAGGACATCTCTTCCTTCTTTGAATTCGTGGCAGCGATTTCTTTCTGTCGATGTCATCTTTGCCTCGTACTTCTCTCCAAGTCCTTTGAGTATGACGTTCAAGTCGCTAGGGGTGGTATAAGCGTTTTCAGCTGCGGTCGCTGAATCCGAAACATATCGGACCATGGGCACATCGTTGAAGTCGTCTAGCGCGAGGAACGTTTCCGCAAACTGGGCGACTGCTGCATTCGTCGTCGAGGTCACTATCACGGAGATGTTTGCTTTGCATAAGTGTGCTGCAAGAAGCGCGCCTATAACTGTTTTGCCCGTTCCGAAAGCGGCTTGAATTCCAACTACCGGGTAACCCGTGAACGCGAGAGATATGGCCTTCTGCTGGTCGTCGTTGAGGCTGATCCGACGTCCTTTTAGGGAGAAGGAGGTGCTTGTGAGCTGTGTGGAGACGGGTGCCTGTGAATGTCGAGGAGAGCAACCTATTCGTGCGCGGCCGTACATGGCATTCATTACTCCATCCCCAAATGTACCTGCTGGTGCGGTTATAGAGAGATCCGCGCGCGATATACTTTCGTAGACCGGATTAGAGGCTAGCGGGGATTTAATGAGGTGTACTCCGACGTCGACGACCAAGTTTGGGCCTACGCGACGTGCGTGCTTAGCGACATCTCCCAGGATGCTGCGGTGCGAGTAATGGTAGGCTTCCGTTGAGATTGCTAATGTCCTCTGATCGGGATCCATCGTCACTGACCTAACTCTTACGAAGGCAAGGGAAGCGGAGCCGGCTATCCACACTGCAACTGGGCGTTGAGCAGCCCATCCGGCTTCGTTTGCCATGTTGTGGAGCACAAAATTCAACCTAATGGTATAGACGGTGAGACTTGGGACTACGGCAGCAACCCAGTGTGTTTGGTGGTCGTCGGATAGGAAAGGAAGTGCTGCATGCGCGGCTCCTGTTACATTGAAAAGTTTCAACATCTTGATTAGCGCAACCGAATGGTCACTCTCAAAGTTGTCGAACCTGTCAGCGCGATCAAGTAGCCACTCCCTTTCTTCTTTGTTGGGCCTATAGACTCGTATAGGTCGAATTGCTTCCGCTGGGTGAGTGGGGAGAAACGTGGTAATGAGCTGGCAGAGCTGGTCGCGCGCGGTGAGAGAAGCTGGAGGCTCAGAAAAGCGCATTGCGGAGGATGCGTTGTAGCGAGTATCGGCGATAAGAAATTCATCCTCCTTCACAGTCTGCATGTCGAAGCGGCAGATCCCATTGGGAACGACTATGCCATCCGGAGCTCCTTCAAAGGCAGCTTTAAAAGAGTTAACTCCCGTACGTCGCCTCTTGACCGAAAGGACGAGGCCGTAAACGCGATCGTCCCGTTCACGAGGAGTGACAAAAGCGTAATGCGACACTTTGAAGTAGTAGACCGAGTTGTTGTCGAGTGCGGTGGTGCGTGGGATACGGGCTCTCTCCAAGGCTCCCTCCGGGTGCGTAAACGCTTGTCTCGTTGGTTTGACGGCATACACCCATACAAAATCCTTAACGGCAATGAGGCCTCTATCCAAACCCTGCTGACCGGAGGTGACGTTGATGGCGTCGTAGTCGAGAATAATGCAGTGGAGCTCACGTCGGTCAGGTCCTGGCAAAAAGAAGTCCTTGGCCTCTAGGATTACCCCGTTGCGCCAGCCGGTGGAGACAACTTGATACAATACTGGACGACGGCCTCGCCAGGTCTCTGGAGCAAGCATACAGCGTAGCCGATCGGGTTGTACTGGTGAGTCGATCTCGCGGAAGTCATCATAGGTGCCGTCCTGGAGGTCTTCGATCATGCGAAGGGTTCGGTCCCGGAACGCGATCGTATCTTCAAGATGCTGAAGTTCAATGAAAGGAATTTGGAGTACTGGGCAATGGGCCCGAATCGCAATACGCGGAAAGAGTGACCGTGCGAAGCGAGTGTTGCGATATCCTCCGCTGGGTAGATGTCGATATTCTTCCGTCGGGAGATCGAGGACCGGTTGTATGGCTCTTGACTGGAGCACGTCGATAGGGCGCGGGCTGACCAGATGCGCCCAGGGATGGTGTTCGATGAGGTAATGGCTATGTCCTTCCGGAGTGAACGTAGGGGGAGGACGGCGTTGCGGCGTGAGGACGTGCTTGATAGGGGGCCGAGTTCCAGGTCTGAGTAGACTTACGCCCTGCATGTCAGTGTTGAAAAGGCGCTCACGAAGACTGACGATGTCATCCTGAATCGGCTGGGCAGGGATGTCAAAAGGGTGGTCGTGGTAAGACGATGAGGAAGGCACGGCGAGGGGTTCTTCGTGAAGCATCTCTTCAGCAAACAAAGGGGAGGAGGCGCGCCGCCGGCGCGTGCTTCCGTGGGGGGATCCGGAAGGGGTGCTGGTTGGCGGCTTGTCTCTTACTGTGGTCCACTTGGCTTCCTCTGTAGAGGGGACGGGGACGATGAGCAGGTTCTGGGTGTCGGTGGAAGGTCCCGGAGGCGGAGACGCGGTCAAGGTGAGAGATGACGCAGGTGAGAGGTTCATAGACTCAACGTCGGAGGCAAGGAGCGCCTCTTCCGGGTAGTCAAGGTAGACATTTTGCATGACGGAGGAGCTGGTGTCTAAAGAAAATTTCGGTGACGTTACCCCAGTGAAGCGCAAGTCATAATTGTACATCTAGACAGAAAGCTCCGGAAAGGAATTGGCCTACCTGACGCTTGTTCTTGCTGCCGTTGGGTAGCATCGGGGTTTTCATCCCTGGCCAGTGCGTGAGCAACTACGAATTCGTAGTTTTAGTAAGTAGTTTGGGTGTCTGGGCAAACGGCCCGAAAAACAAAATTCACCTACCTAATGCCTCCAACTGCTGCTGTGGAGAGAGATCGTCCATTGCCAAATGACCACGAGTTAGGTCTACCCGAATCTGAAAAGGGAATACTGTGCTTGTATGGAAGTGTTGTTACATGGGCAAATTCATGCGCAACACGGCGACCAAAAGGTGTTAGTGGAGTCACTGAGTGAAGGCGAGATATGAAAGGTTGAGTTGTAGTTAGTACTTTGTGATGCAACCAAAACTTTGTGAAAGTGAAGACAGAAGCATCATTAGTGAAAGAGTTAAGGAAGTGAGATTCGGAAACGGTGCATATGTTGTCAAACTGAGGATTAAAAAAACGGTGTGTTAGTAGCGAGAATACTAATAGGATAGGAATACCATGACGACGTCCTCATATGGAGATTAGTGCGATGCTCGACGAGATCTGAAACGAGTGTTGTATTGGTGTGTTGGTTTAGGGTTAACGTCTGTTTCTGCAGGGGGTTCGACAGCATAGGAGCGCCCGGGTATTTCAGTATCAACAGCGTTAGCCGTGGATAGCGCCCTCTGTTCTGCATCTGGGAGCCATGGTGTCGTGAACACGGGGCCCTCTAATGAGAAACATTTCTTGACCTGATTCATGTGTACTTTTTTGGGAGGCGAGTGGGGAGCCGAAATGCTAGTAAGCGTGAGGTGAGGTGGTTGGACGGCGACCACTCGGAACTGCCCAAGCCAGGGATTACAAAGTTTTTGGGAAAGACCCACCTTAGGCGCAAAATCTTTGAGAAAGACGCGGTCACCTACTTTGATTGAAAGAGGGTGGGCTAAGGCGTTGTCATGCTGGCGCTTAAAGCGTTCGCGTTGATTTTGGTTGTAGGCTACTGCCGACCGCCATGCGGCGTGAAGGGTTGCGACCAGATTTTCAATGTAGATGCTGGCGTCATTATCTGTTGGAGTATGACGCTCCAAGTCGTGTTTAATGAGCAAGTCGATGTTGAAAGTGGGGTCTCTACCAAACATAAGGAAAAACGGTGTGTTGTTAGTACTGCTATGGATCGAAGTGTTGTACATGAACGTACAGGCTGAAACGTATTTGTCCCAATCCGACTGATTTTCGCTAATATATGTGCGAAGCATGGGATGGAATGTCGCAAAGACCCTTTCACATGCCCCATTGCCTTCATGGTGATAGGGGGTGGTGAAATAGTGATTGATGCGAAGGAGCCGGCCGATTTCAGTAATTACCTCTCCCTTGAAGTAAGATGCGTTATCTGAAATCAGCTGCCTCATGGCGCCGTACTTGAGGATGCACTCCGTCATGACAGCCTGTGCAACTGTTACGGCGGTGCAGTCAGGTAGAGGCGCTGCGACAACATATTTGGTAAAATGATCGATCATCGCGACGATATACTTGTTTCCCGAATCCGAGGTATGAAAGGGACCGGTCAGATCTATGTAAACCTTCTCAAAAACGCCCTGACTAGAAACCGTGATGAGCAGTTCCCTGTTCAGCTGTTGGGCTCGCTTACGCTGGCATGCCTCGCAGGAGCGGGCGAGGGAAAAGACATCTTCGGACATGTGTGGCCAGTAGTATTTCCGCGCGATTTTTGTCAATGTTTTGCGCCAATTAAAGTGACCGCCAGCTGTGGAAGGCTATGAAGACCGGCTCGCGCAACTTTTCTGGTACAACCAAGCGTTCAAACTTCAAATGACTATTGCGATCGCTTTGTACGTGATACAAGCACCCATTACTTCTGAGTACGCACTGTTCGGCAAGCTTCAGAAAAGCTACTTTTTCGTCGTCAGACAAGTTGTCGGGAAAGCGTTGAGTTTCCAGAAAGGTCATGAGCGGGGAGCAAAACGCATCGCTTTTTTGTTCTAATAGTGCGTCGTATGGTCGCAAAGCCGTGGCCTGGGTCAGGTAAATGATGGGTGGCCTGACAGAAAAGGTAGGGGGAGCGCAGCAGTTGATACTTACTGGAAACTCGATGATGTCAGTGCTATCGGCAGCGTCGTCCTCGAAGCGGACGTGCTTATCTACGGAACGCGAAAGGGCATCGGCGACTACGTTGGATGAGCCTTTGTGATACTTGATGGTGATATCGTAACTTTGGAGTTCCACTACCCATCTGGCCAAATTGTCGTGCGTCTTGTTGTGCGTAAGCAAGAATGTCAAGGGGCGGTGGTCGGAATAGATCGTGGTGTGATTCCCGTAAATAATGGCGCGAAAGAAACGTAAGGCACTAATAATGGCGAAGAGTTCAATATGGGTAGGGCTCCACTTACGCTGAGAGTCGGATAATGCTTTGCTAAAATAACCTACAGCGACTAGGTGGTCGCTGTCGCTTGCCTGTTGGAAAAGCGCGGCCCCTACGGCGACCTGGCTGCCATCCGTATGCAGAAAAAATTCCTTATCTTGAGGAAATGCCAAGCAAGGTTTGGATAATAGACAAGTCTTCAAACGGGAAAAGGCTTCTTTCTGCGCGGCTTCCCAGGTAAACTTAGCGTTAGCTTTTAAAAGCGCGTAGAGAGGGGTAGCGATAAGGGAGAAATTGGGAATGAATTTACGAAAAAAGTTGGCCATACCTACAAATGCCTTGACTTCTTTGATCGATGTTGGAGTGGGAAAGTCTTGGATTGCTCGAAGATTTCGCTCCGCTGGAGAGTAGGATCGTCCGGAAATCTGATGCCCTAGAAAGGTTATCGTAGTGCGCGCAATCTCACTAAGCTTTTTGCCAGAAGCTTTGATGTTATAGATGCGAAAGCGGTAGAAGACTTTGCGCAATGTGGACAGATGACTCGGAAAGTCGGAGTTGAAAACCACAATGTCGTCAAGATATGCAAGACAGTTATCCTCCAAACCCGCTAGGATACGAGACATTGCCCGAGAAAAGTAAGCGCCGGCGTTTTTTAGTCCGAAAGGTAGATAGACAAATTGGTATATCCCTCGGTGGGTGGCCCAGCCGCACTTTTCCTGGCTTTCTGGGGATAACAAGAGTTGCATGTAGCCGGAGGCGAGATCCAAAGTCGTGTAGTACCTGTGGCCGGAGATTTTGGCTAATATGTCCTCTATTCGCGGAAGCGGGAAATGGTCTGGGATTGTTATCTCATTCAATGGGCGGAAATCTAGGCACACGCGAAGCGACCCATCCCTCTTTTTGACCAGAACAGTGTTGTGTATCCACGGAGTGTCGCTCTCAACAATGCGACCGGCTCGCAGAAGCTTGTTTATATGTTCATCAAGTTCTTTCTGAAATTTAACAGGTATTCGCGGCGGTCGAAAACGCGTAGGTGGTATGTCGGTGGTGGTTCTGATGTCAATCTGTGAATGTTCGTACGATCCTAGGTCGTATGAGTCGTGTGAAATCCTATCGCTAAATTCTTCGAAAAGGGCCTGAAGTTGCTGCCGTTCCTCGTCGGTGACCTCGGCCTTGGAAAGGTCTACGTGGAAAGTATTGATGTTATTTTAGAAAACTGGGCAAATGGCCCTGTTGGCAACAGATTCTGTGGTAGAAGCGTTGCTAAAACCACTGTGGAGATATTGCCAGAGATCGGTCTTCGTTTTCCAGAAGGGGCGAGGCTGTGGCGATCTTTTGACCCTTGTAGAGGACCTCCGCCACATGTGAAGGGTTCGTGGCTAGAAGTTGGACTTTACCCGGGACGAGGACTGCTGGAGTGATCATTATGTTTTTGTCAAGCAGGCCATCGGACTGTGTCGAGAGAACTATTGAAGATGCCGGAGTAGAATCTGTGACACAAGTAACAAAGGTTTCGGTTTGAGGCTGAAGTACGGTAGTCTCCGCTACGCGTACGGTAATGGGCGTGGCCGTGCCTTCTGAAAGGGGCGGGGCGGAGCAAGGGATGTTTACCGCGTGATCCGTGAAGTGAAAGGCTCTCCGGTGATAATCGATAGTCCAGGTGGGTAAACGAGACAAGAGGTCGTTGCCCATGATGATGTTATAGGAGTTGGCTGTCTCAGGAATACAAGCGGCTTCGGTGAAGTAAACATGATGATCCAACTGAACGGGCCCAACTTGGAAGCGAAGGCATGCTCGACCGACTAACTTGATGGGTATGCCCGCCATACCGAGTGCAAATGGGATGTCACTGGGAATCGCCGAGAAAACTCCAAGTAGCGGTGCTTTGCTGCAAGACGTTATGGTGATGGCAGCTCCGGTGTCCACAAGTGCCAAGATGTGAACATTGTTAACTTTGATTGGTATCTGAGCAACAAAGAAATGTGTGGCACTGGTAAGAGTTAGCATGTTAACCGAAGTGAGGGATGCGCGAGGTGGCCACGCAGTCGATGAGTCTATTGCAAGTTCTGCTAGTTCAATGGGTGGGGGGAGTGCAGGAGGTATGGGAGATAGACGCGGTGCAGACGGGTGTAGTTCGTGAATTCTGGGTGCCTCGAACCTTGATGAACGAAAATGCGCAGGTAATGGGAGTCGATCGAAGATTGTAGAGTAGTAGAGCTTGCAATATAGGACCACGAGTGACTTTAGAACCCCTAGAGATGTGATGATGCAGCAAGCTGTGACCCAAACATCGAACGATGACCATTTACCGAAGACAAGCGAAAGTAAGGAGAAGCCGTCGGAGGTTGGCTGCTGAGGGGTGCCCCTGTAAGGAGAGGTTGGGTGGTCAAGACGAAGGAAATGTTCCTGATTAACGGTAGACCACACCTCGGTGAGTTGGTGGTCTTGTGTGATTTCACTGAGGTTTGTCAATACCAGATTGTGGAAGATGGTAAGCGGGAGTGTTATGGCTGAAGCATTCAACTGAGAAGAGGATCCTATAGTTTCTATGTGGGGGATGGGAAAGAAACTACCCGAGACAGTGTCAAAGCGAAGAAAGACATCGAGAAATGAGAAAAAGAAGTGAGGGACAGTGTGGCAATCTACCGATACCGCCTCTCCTGAAATGACCATTGTAGAAGGATCAATAAACAGGCGCAAAATCATGCCGGATTTAAGATTGAGTTCCACCGAAGGCTTAGAAAAACACGAGCCATTGAAAGGAAGGATCTTGAAGGCTTGAGGAGGTACTGAGAGGCAACGGTGTATCTGGATCAAACCATTTCCCAAGTAGGGTGCCGCCACATCGTGACGATTCAACAGTGATCGCAAGGTAGACGTCGGGTTAGTGGAAAGAGACGAGTGAAGTGCCAGCGCAAGAAGGTTGGTACGGTCACACAAGGCTGTAAGAGCATGATGGAAAAGAGATGAGACTGCCAGCTCTACGCTATCTTCGACAGCAAGAAGTTGTGCCGCTAACTGGTTGGATGTTACTACGCCAACGGGAGTCATAGAGCGGCGGGTCCGACGCTTGACTAATACGGCGTAACCCTGGTCTGTCACAATAAGTTCTCTGCCGCAGTCGGTAAGTTGCGTGCTTCCTACATGCCAAGAAAGAGCAAACTCTTTCGAGTCACTGATCCATACATCCGTTAGGACATGTCCGCTCATTCTGGAAACGGGGACGTATTGGCAAGCTTCTTCTGTGTTGGGGGTCCAGATGAGGATGGAGCCGTCGGGTAGGGGGCAATTGCCGGAGGAATAGGGACAACTGCGTAGGTCTCCTACTGTGGAGTCCGGGTAGTCAGTGCCGTGACGGGTATGAATCGTGGTATTGATGAGATAGCAATTAGTGACTGATACTTGGTGGGTGACACAACAACCGAACGGAGCGGACGGCCATTCGAATGTTAACTCATGAGCGGTAGACCAAAATTTGTTGTCATCGTGGGGAGTCAAAGTGCCATGAGTGCATTTATGATACAGAAGCATATGTCTACAGGTCTCAGAGGAGACAACCTCATGCACCTCAGTACGAGATTCAGTGCGCGCTCCAAAGAAATTGACATAATAGTGAATGGTTTGAGTTACGATCTTGCATAAATGGGCAGGAGTATCATAGCGCTGAGTGTTAGGTCGAAAAACATGCACTACCAAGGGTGCGGGAAGAGTGCCAGTCTGGGGGATAATGCGCGAACAATTGTACGATAGAGGGATTCTAGCAACAACATCCGATGGATCCCTTGGGCAAAGCCAGGCAGGTGCATTGAGAGCTGTGGGGGCACAAGAAGGGATGAGAACCATTAAAGAAGCAAGAAGCAAACTGACTTTTGGAAATAGATTAGAATTGGATTTAGATGTAGAGACAGATTGACCAAAAGTGGAATGGGCTAGCTCCTCATTTCTTTGCATGAGCGCGGAAACGCGGGCATCAGAATTGTCAAGTGCAGATTGTTTTTCTTGGAGTGAAAGCGTAAGACATTCGATTTGCTTGCGTGCTTCCGAAAGTTCATGATTGGGATCAGGAGCAGCCACGTTCAAACGAGGAGGTGCGGGAGAGCGACGTGAACAAGAACGGCGAGAGAAACGATTGTTGGGAACAAAACGCTTACCTGTGTTTCGGAGCTGCTGACGTTGGGATGGGCACTGGTGAGCCATATGTCCGAGGCCTCCACAAGAATAACAGACAGTACGATCGGTATTAAACCGCGAAATAACATCGACCATGCTACGGGAGCGTCTTCGGCCCTGGAATGAATTGCTTCGACGAGACATCTGTGGCTCACGAATACGAAAACTTGGCCTGGTGGGACGAAGATTCACGGTCTTCACTTCCAGTGGTGCCACGGACGAGGGCGTGATCAGGCGGTCCGAGATTGTTTCTGCGAGGTGCTGCTCGACCGCATCGGCAGTGTCCAAGGCTTGCTGAAAGGAAGTTGGATTGCTGTTACGAACATGAAATTTGATGTCAGTGCGCAAGCGACTAACAAACTCTTCCAAGAGGCGTTCCTCTTGGAGGACCGGGTCCTGACCCGCGGTAATAGCTCGTACCAGGTGGAGAATGCGATTAGCGAACGAGAAGCAGGACTCTCCGGGTTGTTGACGGCATCCCGCGAGGGCCTGGCGGGCTAAACGACGACGATGTGGCCCCTCAAAGCTCTTTCTCAACTCGGCAACTAGCGTATCGTAATCGTCGCGCTGCTCAGATGTTAACTGGTTCAATTTTTCCCTAGCTAGCCCTTGAAGGTGCCCCTTTACTAGCTTGGCTTTCATCGCAGAAGATAAAGGCGGCGATAACATGTCAAAAATATCCTCCACCCGAGCCAGCCATGCTGAAAACTGAGTTGGGTCCTCATCTAAGCCACTAAAGGACGGAAGCGAGGGGATCGGGATCGGGGTCGTGATATTTACTGCGGATGGAAGCCCGTCGATCCGATGACCCATTGCCGAAAAAGACTCGTTGAGGTCTGCCAGGAGCGATGCGTTTGTAGCGTTGATTTTCCCAGCCAAGTTTGCCGTTGCCTGGCGGCTGTCAGTCCACACATCGGTGATCGCTTGCGCCGTAACGTCGCGCAATTCCTTAACGTCCCGCCCTGTGACGGGGCCATCGTCGACCACGTGGGCCAACGACGCCGATACTGCTGCGGCAACCTGTGGTGCCGCAGGAGCACTAGGTGTTATTTTAGAAAACTGGGGATGGGCCCCGATATCAGATGATGGTGCACGAGCGCGAGTCGTTGGAGGCGGCATAAGCGAGACGGATCTGAAATGGAGGCAATGAGAAGGCTGTCTGGACCTACAGAAACGACAACGGAGACGAATGAAATATGATCTCGAAGTTCAGAGTGGCTTAGAAGCGGCAACCGCTTGAATTGAAAAGGAGAGTGACGTCGATGAGGCCTTGGCCGAAACTGATGATGGAGTGAAGTGACGGTGAATGGGGGAAGGGCTTATATCTCCTGCATATCCAGCTGTTCTAAGGAAAAAGATGTCTCAGCGCAGCTGCGACGATGTTCGACCCTCGAAAAAGTGCAAAGTCACTGCCATCTGCGAAGTGAATACTGTAGAAATTGAAAAGTAAGTGAAGAAATTTGCGGAAGGGGTGCAGGTGGCGTTTGACGAAGCCATGATTCGGTTCGAAAAGGCAAAAAGACTGTCATCTGTGCGGCAGAGGACATGAAGGAACCTTTTTGTTCGCGAAGCAAAAAGGCAACATCTTTGAATAGAGCCGAGCGAGTGTGCAGCTGCGCGCCCCGCGCTGTCAGCAGTAAACAACTAATGATGACTTGTCAAATACAGTAATAAGACATTTGAGTTTAGAAAACTGGGCATACGGCCCTGGTAAGGTAGACGTATCCTTACTGCTATTTGGCACCCGGCTCCGACCATTGACTATGAACCGCGGATTACCTCACTTTGCCGCTTATCAAATCCATCCAAATCTGATTGTCGGAACCATTTCTACTGCTACTCTTTAAAACCACTAGACACGAGCGCTCGCCGATGAATTCAGGGTGCCAGACACACAACAAAAATGCGGCAAAGATTTCCACTAAAGCCGGCAGTACAGGTCTTCACAGAAGATCCTGATTAACAAGCAAAATATATACGCGCCATGTAGAGCAACTAGGTTCAAGCAAAGCGAAGGCGTGACGAAATGAAAGTGTGCATCAAAACGTGGTGAGGAGCAGTGGTCTACAGGTTAGGGCCCAAAAATTTGAAAAAAAATGAGACCTCTGCCCTTCCTCACGCTAAATACGGGCAAAACAATGCACTAAAAGCAAAGCATGCATGCAAATTAGACCTACCTGTCCGCTCATCCTCGTCGGGCGATGGAAAACACCGCTGCTACCAGTCAACGTTGCGCCCGGAAGCGTGGAATATAGATACACTTTGCGATTAGATAGTTTATTAGGCGCTGGCAGGTTACATGGTTTATTGCACCGATATCAGCATATGAGATACGACAGTAAGGCAGGTTGATACGGAAGTAGGTATGACGAGGGGAAGCGACGACCGGTAGGATCATGGAGTTGAAGGAGGCCGATGGAGCAGGTGGCGTTGCCCGACCATCTCGGGCAGCTGCGCGAGTCCTCTCTCGAAGTCTGAGGCTTCCTTCAGTCACGCCCTGTAATGGATGAGTCAGCAAGAGTCAAATTCAAGCACTCACTCTCTCAGTCTTTCTTACAAAACTCTCACTCTCTTACACTTCAAAACTTAACGATTTTGTAAACGTCAAATGTTTTCAGGGCTAGCACTGCTCTATTGGAAAGTGACAAAAAAATACAAAATTCCAGGCCAGTCTCAGAGGTCGGGTCCGAGTATACCTTTGCAATGGCTCGCAAAAAACAACGATTCTGAAAATATACCCACCGATATTCCTTCAAAACTTAACGATTCCGTAGACGTCAAATGTTCCGAGTACCTTTGCAATGGCTCGCAAAAACAACTATTCTCAAATATACCCACCAATATTCCTTCAAAACTTAACGATTCCATAAACTTCAAATGTTTTCAGGGCTAGCACTGCTCTATTGGAAAGTGACAAAAAAAAATGCAAAATCCCAGGCCAGTAGAGGTCGGGTCCGAGTACCTTTGCAATGGCTCGCAAAAACAACTATTCTCAAATATACCCACCAATATTCCTTCAAAACTTAACGATTCCATAAACTTCAAATGATTTCAGGGCTAGCACTGCTCTACTGGAAAGTGACGAAAAAAATACAAAATCCCAGCCAGTAGAGGTCGGGTCCGAGTACCTTTGCAATGGCTCGCAAAAACAACGATTCTGAAAATATACCCACCAATATTCCTTCAAAACTTAACGATTCCGTAAACTTCAAATGTTTTCAGGGCTAGCACTGCTCTATTGGAAAGTGACAAAAAAAATACAAAATTCCAGGCCAGTCTCAGAGGTCGGGTCCGAGTACCTTTGCAATGGCTCGCAAAAACAACGATTCTGAAAATATACAAATATACCCACCAATATTCCTTCAAAACTTAACGATTTTGTAAACGTCAAATGTTTTCAGGGCTAGCACTGCTCTATTGGAAAGTGACAAAAAAATACAAAATTCCAGGCCAGTCTCAGAGGTCGGGTCCGAGTACCTTTGCAATGGCTCGCAAAAACATCGATTCTGAAAAGATACCCACCAATATTCCTTCAAAACTTAACGATTTTGTAAACGTCAAATGTTTTCAGGGCTAGCACTGCTCTATTGGAAAGTGACAAAAAAAATACAAAATTCCAGGCCAGTCTCAGAGGTCGGGTCCGAGTACCTTTGCAATGGCTCGCAAAAACAACGATTCTGAAAATATACAAATATACCCACCAATATTCCTTCAAAACTTAACGATTTTGTAAACGTCAAATGTTTTCAGGGCTAGCACTGCTCTATTGGAAAGTGACAAAAAAATACAAAATTCCAGGCCAGTCTCAGAGGTCGGGTCCGAGTATACCTTTGCAATGGCTCGCAAAAAACAACGATTCTGAAAATATACCCACCGATATTCCTTCAAAACTTAACGATTCCGTAGACGTCAAATGTTCCGAGTACCTTTGCAATGGCTCGCAAAAACAACTATTCTCAAATATACCCACCAATATTCCTTCAAAACTTAACGATTCCATAAACTTCAAATGTTTTCAGGGCTAGCACTGCTCTATTGGAAAGTGACAAAAAAAAATACAAAATCCCAGGCCAGTAGAGGTCGGGTCCGAGTACCTTTGCAATGGCTCGCAAAAACAACTATTCTCAAATATACCCACCAATATTCCTTCAAAACTTAACGATTCCATAAACTCCAAATGTTTTCAGGGCTAGCACTGCTCTATTGGAAAGTGACGAAAAAAATACAAAATCCCAGGCCAGTAGAGGTCGGGTCCGAGTACCTTTGCAATGGCTCGCAAAAACAACGATTCTGAAAAGACCCACCAATATTCCTTCAAAACTTAACGATTTTGTAAACGTCAAATGTTTTCAGGGCTAGCACTGCTCTATCGGAAAGTGGCAAAAAAACTACAAAATTCCAGGCCAGTAGAGGTCGGGTCCGAGTACCTTTGCAATGGCTCGCAAAAACAACGATTCTGAAAAGACCCACCAATATTCCTTCAAAACTTAACGATTTTGTAAACGTCAAATGTTTTCAGGGCTAGCACTGCTCTATTGGAAAGTGACAAAAAATACAAAATTCCAGGCCAGTCTCAGAGGTCGGGTCCGAGTACCTTTGCAATGGCTTGCAAAAACAACGATTCTGAAAATATACCCACCAATATTCCTTCAAAACTTAACGATTGTGTAAACGTCAAATGTTTTCAGGGCTAGCACTGCTCCATTGGAAAGTGACAAAAAAATACAAAATTTCAGGCCAGTCCCGGAGGTGGGGTCCGAGTACCTTTGGAATGGCTCGCAAAAACAACGATTCTGAAAATATACCCACCAATATTCCTTCAAAACTTAACGATTCCGTAAACTTCAAATGTTTTCAGGGCTAGCACTGCTCTATTGGAAAGTGACAAAAAAATTCAAAATTCCAGGCCAGTCTCAGAGGTCGGGTCCGAGTACCTTTGCAATGGCTTGCAAAAACAACGATTCTGAAAATATACCCACCAATATTCCTTCAAAACTTAACGATTTTGTAAACGTCAAATGTTTTCAGGGCTAGCACTGCTCTATTGGAAAGTGACAAAAAAAATACAAAATTCCAGGCCAGTCTCAGAGGTCGGGTCCGAGTACCTTTGCAATGGCTCGCAAAAACAACGATTCTGAAAATATACAAATATACCCACCAATATTCCTTCAAAACTTAACGATTTTGTAAACGTCAAATGTTTTCAGGGCTAGCACTGCTCTATTGGAAAGTGACAAAAAAATACAAAATTCCAGGCCAGTCTCAGAGGTCGGGTCCGAGTATACCTTTGCAATGGCTCGCAAAAAACAACGATTCTGAAAATATACCCACCGATATTCCTTCAAAACTTAACGATTCCATAAACTCCAAATGTTTTCAGGGCTAGCACTGCTCTATTGGAAAGTGACGAAAAAAATACAAAATCCCAGGCCAGTAGAGGTCGGGTCCGAGTACCTTTGCAATGGCTCGCAAAAACAACGATTCTGAAAAGACCCACCAATATTCCTTCAAAACTTAACGATTTTGTAAACGTCAAATGTTTTCAGGGCTAGCACTGCTCTATCGGAAAGTGGCAAAAAAACTACAAAATTCCAGGCCAGTAGAGGTCGGGTCCGAGTACCTTTGCAATGGCTCGCAAAAACAACGATTCTGAAAAGACCCACCAATATTCCTTCAAAACTTAACGATTTTGTAAACGTCAAATGTTTTCAGGGCTAGCACTGCTCTATTGGAAAGTGACAAAAAATACAAAATTCCAGGCCAGTCTCAGAGGTCGGGTCCGAGTACCTTTGCAATGGCTTGCAAAAACAACGATTCTGAAAATATACCCACCAATATTCCTTCAAAACTTAACGATTGTGTAAACGTCAAATGTTTTCAGGGCTAGCACTGCTCCATTGGAAAGTGACAAAAAAATACAAAATTTCAGGCCAGTCCCGGAGGTGGGGTCCGAGTACCTTTGGAATGGCTCGCAAAAACAACGATTCTGAAAATATACCCACCAATATTCCTTCAAAACTTAACGATTCCGTAAACTTCAAATGTTTTCAGGGCTAGCACTGCTCTATTGGAAAGTGACAAAAAAATTCAAAATTCCAGGCCAGTCTCAGAGGTCGGGT